GCATAAGCTTGTGAAGGGTGAAGCATGCGACTCACTCTATTTCCAAAATAGACATTCCTTCGAGTTCGGTTCTCATCACACATTTTACTGCACACTGCGCGCGGGAATAAACCCGAGAAGCTGGAGAACGGGCTCTTCCCGACGCTACGGAGCGATAATCATGCAATGTTACGGCTTCCTCCACACCATCTTAATATTAGCGGCAAGATGTGAGCCACTCGACGGCGGTTTCATGAGCCCCGCCGCCCGTACTAAGTCTTCCGAGAGCCTCCCTAGATCCTCAGCGGAGATCTCTCCTTGGCATGGACGGAATGCGATGCCATTTGCCCCTATTACGAGAACCTAGCAACTGAGCTTTCAGGAGACCCTAGTTAAGCTACTAGAGAATTAAGATAAATGAAGTCGTAATCATACCATTACACACGTTGGAATATGCCTAAATGTTGGCGGCGAATAAGTTTATGGGGTATATCCCTCTGACGGATGCATAACACGAACTTATGGTGCAGAAAATGCGTGGATAATGGATATTCGGCTAAAGTTCTAGACACTAGATATGTTGGGTAGGGAAAGGGAAACGCGGCCCCCATCACGATATCAGGACGAAGGCGAATCGACAGTCCGCGACAACCGGCCAATGCTATCATCGTCGTCACTTTCTTCGGAGCTGACGTCTCTTGCTTGGGGGTTTCTGTTGAATAATCCACAGTATACCAATACCCTCACGGACCGAGAGCGGACTTTCCACTTTGATAAGGATATGTTTCACACGTAGTAGTTAGACGTTCCGGTTTAAGATTAACATCGCCAAAGAGGTAAAAAATAAGCGTGCCTCGGAAGCTAAACCAAGGGACCTTACAGGAGTACCTACCTAGGCTCGTGTCAAATGACCTCATGACGTAGGTACCTAGGTAGGTAAGGTAGTATTGCTGAAGCGGAAGCGAGAGGCGAGATAGACGCGGAAGGCAACCTACTACCTACCTACATACCTACATACATACCTACTACTGTAGCATGTAATGTAGTTAACATTAACATCGACTAAAAGGTACGACACATAACATTACATGGCTAAGCTTTACGGCTGAGGAGCCAAGCTTCGGCTTACATGTCTTGGTATTCCTTAATGTCCGTTAGAGATTTCGAATTATTACGTACGCGAATCTTGCACTTTGCTAATTCTTGTTACCATATACGTGTTAAGGTCCTTTGATAGCTTCTGATCCTTCCTCTCTGACTCCCTCTGCTTACACCACCACCCCCCCCGCGGCGGCCCTCCATCAGCACCTAGTCGAAAAAAAAGGCTGGGGTAAGCTCTGAGGGACGGGATAGGCTGAGCCTCCCTGCGATTATCTGCGGGGTTGGGCGACATTTCGTACGTTGCGTGCACCGTAGGTGCCATTCTCTTGCCAGTCCGCGTTCGAACTATCTATCATGAATCCTTCCCTCACGCCATTCGCGCATCTCCCACCTCTTGTAAGATGTGTGTGCGCGAAGTTGCCGGCCGGCGACGACGGAGGTGGAAGGGTTGGTTGTTTTTAGAGCCGGCTAGCGGAGGGTGATCAGCGCGCCGTAAAGTTGTATATCCATAGGAAGGTAGGTATGGAAGTTGTAACCCTGCAGCCCATTGGGCAATCCGAGAGAACGGTCGAGATTGTATGCTCCCTGTCTTTCCCATGTTACGGTGGTGGGGACTCGAACTGTGACTGAGCATGCAAAACACACACGTACCTCATACATACATACAGAGGGGTCTGATCCAAAGTGTCAAGAACCGTGATCTTTACCTAGTGCGATTAGCAATCCTCGAAGATGGCACTTGGGATTTCCCTATTCGAGACAGCACTGGGGACTACCGTACACATTAAAGCCGCCACACACGCACCACACACACACACACCTCTTCCCCTAGCTCGCGAGCCAGACGCGCACTAATGCGGCTGTCAAAGATATGTGAAAGATGTGATCTAGCCAAGAGCTGCATGCGATATTGGCTTGCCGTAGCAGACAGCATGTGCCGCCGGGGATATGCCTTACGCGACTGACAACCATGCTCGGCTGCTCCAGACGGACCACGATTATCCTTACCAGTACCAAGAAAAAACGACAGCAAAGAAGGCTATGCCCTTGCCACCAAGACCTTGTTGCAAGGTAGGCTATGTACGTAGGGAATCTTAAAAAAAAATAAGCATCTAATACAGCGTACATTACATGACACATATACCCCGTACAAACCTAGTAATAATACCTACCTACCTACCTAGTAGCCACATACATACATACCCGTCGCGGAGAGAGAGGGAGAGAAAGAGAGGAATCGAGCAGCCGGTCCAGACATAACCGAAATAGGCATGAGTAACCCTAAATACCTACCTAGCTCGAACTGAACTCCCCATCCATGTGTATGTATTATCATATCCTTACCCTAGAATCCCAGCCTATCTGTATCCTAATCTCCGCTCCAGAGCACGGGACGACGCGGGCGCGCGCGAACGTCTGCTGCTGCTCCTACATACATACCTACATACCTAGGTCTACATATGTATGTACATACATGTCTAGCTCGCACTCCTCCGTATGAGGGGGGGACCCCTAACTCCCCTTTCGACGTCCGTTTAAGCCCCCCGCGCGCTGTCGCCGGCGGAGACTAGGCCTGCGCTCTTACTATCGTTTTCCTGACCTAGTACCTATCTATCCCCTCTTTCCCTAACCCCCTCTCGCCCCCCATGGACACCGTATGTATCATACGTATGTAGGTAGGTGCCTATGTCAGTAAGTACATTACATACATGCCACGATACGAGGGGGACCCCGTTGCGCTCGCGGTGGAATCGAGTTTCGTGCGTCTCGGCGTTGCGAATGTGGAAACTACCTACTAGGTATGTAGATAGAGGCCTGCTAAGACGCTTTTATTCTACTCTGCGACTGTGTAGATAGGTATGTAAGGTAGATGAGTAAGTGAATGTTTCCCTCGGAGAGTTCTTCCGAGGCGACGGTGTAACGATAATACCGGAAGTATCGGACCTCCTGCAAGACTCGCCACCCCCTGCTGCACGCCAGCTAAGTATGTAGTTGTGTCTATCTTTCTAATGACCTATCTGTGTACAGTATGTAATATACCTACTTATCCTTATTATTATGATTTTCTGTATTGTAAGTAAGGATCGTATTGCGTGGTGTTGTGTTTTCAACTCTTTCCCCTCCCGCTGACGTGAGTTGCGTTGCTTAGGATGAGGAGGTTATGCATTGGGGATGCTGAAGAAAACCGGGACATTTGTATGTAGGTAGGTATGTGAATGAGGGGTGTGAGGTATGTAGATAACTAACTAACTAACTAACTGCTGGGCTGCTGGCTGCTGTCATCCGCACTTCCTCGCCAACGGATCTGATCTTACGGCGAGCGCTCGCGCAATCGTCTGACGAAGAGCGGGTGGTGCCTTGTCGAGCACGCAGTTAAAAAAGGGGAAAGGAAGGGGAAAGGGGGGATGTAAGGCGGACGTGGCGAGAAAAGGAAAAACGTGATCGGGTGTCCGAGAGAAGGCTGGTCGTGGAACCCCTTCTCTCTCTCTCCTGGATCTGCTTGCTCTAATTGCCTATTGCCTTATTGCTTATTACCTGTCATGTTGTCATCTTATAATTTATTTCTGTTTCCTACCCGCACACGGTCGACCCCACGAAAGCAGATCGATCGGCGGAGGAATCGTGGTGTAATCTTTGGTGAGACCAGACATGTCAATGTGCGCGTATGGCGCGTTACTCTCTCCTCTTTTCGTCTATTCTTTGTTTCTGACCTTTTCTTCTTCTGGGTGATCAGTAACTGTGACTGATCATGATCACGCATCTACTTTGCTCGTTCGCTCGCTTCTACCCGAGCGCCGCCAATTTTCCTCAACGGGCACGGCGTTAGCCGGCCGTCGTGCTCCCACAATCATCTTCGCTCTAGAGAGAGAAGAGGGGAGTAGAGTAGAGTAGAGTAACACTGCCTTTACCGGTCTAGGTAGGTAGGCACTTTAGACGGGTATGAAGAGGATTGGGAAAGAAGATTGACCCCTCGCGCAGCGCATGGCATGACATGGACATGTCTTATTCCGAGGCTGGGCCAAGGCCAAGGCCCTCCTTCTGTCTAGTTACACGGTGCGATGCGTGCCCTGCTGCGTGCGGTTTGACAAGATTTTAGCGCTGCAGAATCTCTAAGCAGGCAAGCACAAGCAAGCGACCTGGGCTGCTGGGCTGCTGCTGGGGCTATCATCATTGTTACCTACGCCGAGAAAAAAAGGTGAGTCTGAGGTTGCGCGAGCTGAGATTCGGATGGTTTAGTTGGATCAGATACATAGCTTGGCCTGCCTGGTCCTTGCCCGGAGGAAGGATTCAGAGAAGGTAGCAGTTTGACACGCCACACGTCGCCACAGAGATCGGAAACGGGGTTATTTTTTTCTTTTCCTGAAGGGTAGGGTAGGGGAGTTAGGAGGTAGGAGGTAAGGTCGGGTCTAGATCCGGTATATGTCTCGGGTTCGGTGCTTCGCCAAGCAGAAGCGGTATGTAGAGTAGATCGATTGCCGCATACACTGACCGACTGGTGGCCTTCTAGAAGGTCGTACGCGTATACTATAGTGTAATATACCATCGTAAAGGATATCCTATAGATGCCCAGAGATGACTAGGTATGTAATATGTGCGTAGCTACGTATGTACGCGGTTACGTGTGTAGCTATGTACGCAGCTACGTACAATAGGCAGTACATACATAAGTCCTATCGTGTACTATGCTCGGCGTGTGCTGCTATTGCGTCCAGGCGAGAGGCGAGGTTTGATTCCGGACCAGCCTGAAACGCTGAAGTCTTGGTTCCGAAAAGCAAGAAGCAAGAAGCATGCAACAATAAGGCCAAGCAGGCTAAGCAGGCCAAGCATCAAGCAAGCAAGACATAAGTGCAGATAGTAGATGCTTGTCGGATGAGTTTATCTTTTGTAAGCCGGCACCGTGTCTGAATAATTCAACGCGAATGGCGAACATCGGCTTGCCAAGGCGATTAGCGTATCTCCTTTGAGACCTTTTGCTGACGAAGTTTCGATCTTAGGATATATCGTGGGGTTCCTATTTCTTGTCATCGTCTTTAGGTTCTCCAACCTTGTCGTCGATGTTTTGTTCAGATTCACTTTTGTCACTTACAGATGTGTTGTAGTAAGGAAGTTACCTAGGAAGTTAACTCCAATTAATATTGATAATACATAATAGATACCTAATAGATACAACTTAAAGTTAGCGCATGTAAGTAATAGATACATCTACACATGTTAAATACAACCTCGGTAATTCAATTCGATGAAGGTCCAAGCTCCTTAATTGAATTGCGTCAACTGTCTCATCCTTCATCCCATCTTCATCATCTTCGCCGCTATCACTTAAGACACAAATACTACTAACATAAAAACAATAATCGGATCTCATCCGCGAAAGGCAGAAACATCTCTTATCAACTTGTGTTTCCCTACCAGGAACTAAAAAAAGGCTGTCAGAAAGTGAGGCCGACAATTGCTACAATGGCTTCCTCTAACAAGCCTGAAAAGTACGCCACCTATCTCCTTTGTCGTGTGTGATCGTAAGATCGTAAGATGTGTGTAAGAGCTAACCGTCTGCGCTACCCTAATAGGCCGATTCACATCCTGTTCGTTGGCGCCGGCGCCGTAGGCTGCTTCTACGCATCCCGACTGCATCATGTAGGGACCGAACACCCACTCCTCTCGCTCAAACGTTGGCAGGAGAACGCGCGCTGATCGTGGTCGGGGATTCGCCGCCGTTACGAAACCACAGCCCGACCAGAATATCTACACTTCCCTCATAGCGCGCTCCAATTACAAAGCGATCGCCGATGCTGGAAACGTCCAGCTGCAGACCCATTCGTTCGGAAACTATGCCTTCGCCCCATATGCCGTGTTCCCCAACATCGATGCCGCCGTCCCGTCCGCGTCGTCATCGAGCCCTACTGCTGCTGCTGCTGCTACCCCGCCGAGCGAGGGGTGGGATTATATCATCGTCACCACGAAGGCCCTTCCCGACCGAACCGATGATACTGCGACCATAGCACCGCTCGTCAGCGCGAAGTCGTGTCTAGTGCTGATCCAGAACGGCGTCGGCGTAGAAGAACCCTACCGCAAACGCTTCCCGCACAACCCGATCGTAAGCGCCGTCACCGTCATCAGCGCGGAGCAGATCCGGCATGGTGTCATCCGGCAAAACAGATGGACGCGGATAAGTCTCGGTCCGTACGGTCACGGACTCAGCACCACCACCCCTAGCTCCGACGACCAGGTAACGCGTCTTAGCGACGAACGCATGCGCTCCCTCGCGCAGTGGTGGACAGAACTCGGCGGCATCCGCGACGTAGAATCCCACACCGAGCTGGAGCTACAAACGATCCGATGGCACAAACTCTGCATCAACGCCGCCTTCAACCCGACCGCCGTCCTCTCCGGGGGCCGGGGCAACGCAGACCAGCTAACCGACGCCGAACTGCGCATCCACGTCCTCGGCATCATGAACGAGATCCGGGACGCCGCCCCCTTGGTTCTGGGTGCCCCGTTCCCGGATACCCTGGCGAGTCCGGAGAAGATCGTGAAGAGCACGGAGAGGAATACGGGGGGCAGACCGAGTATGTTGCTGGACTGGGAGGCGGGCAGACCGATGGAGATTGAGGTGATACTCGGGAATCCGGTTAGGATTGCGAGGGCGAGGGGCGTGGAGATGCCAAGGTTGCAGAGCTTGTATGCGTTGCTTGGGAGTATGCAGAGGATGAGGGAGGAGAGGGGGAAGGGGAAGTTGTGATGGGGAATTTTTGTGAGGGTGTGGTCTTGGTTGGGGTTTATGTGGTGTTGATTCTTCCAAGGTATCCATCCCTTTATGGGTATATGTAGGTACGAGATGAGGGTGTTTTATCGAATAGATATTTAGGTACCTAGGTATATAGGTAGAGGTAGATGGCTCATAATAACAGATTGGTTCATTATGCAGGTCTTTTTCGGTATTACGTTGACTATTGGACAGAGTGTAGGTAGTTGACTGAACGAATCTTGGTTATTATATCGAGTATAATGAATGTCACTGTCTACTTGGAGGTTGATGTTACCCCTTTAATGACTAGAGAAGTATACACGGTAAAGACATTTCACGTCCTATCCTAAGCTTATTCCTTTAGCAAGCATTTATCTTGTTTTATAGGTAGGTAGATATAGCACTTTATCACTAATTCTCATTTTCCCAGTATATATGAACAAAGCTTTCATGTTTATGAGTGGTGCAAAGAGGTGTTCAGGGGTTGAGTCAGATTTGCAGGAAGGAACCATGGTAACCTAGTGAATCCCCCCCTCCCCCCTTTTTTTTGAGCAATTCAACTAAACATACCTACCTACGTACTAGGTACATTTCATGTTGTAGAAGACGAAGATCAGGATAGAGGTTAACTTAGTGTCGACTAACGATTTCGTCGCGAACTTCTTGTACATCCATCGTCTTTTCGTCGTGCACTTTGGTACTGTAACGACGACACTTTTTTGGCATGGCAATGACATGCATGTGCAAATGTCCAACACTATTATGGGGCCATAGGTGAAATCCGAAAGTGAAATGCTTGAATCTAAGTTTGTGTATGATATTTTCAAGCTTTTGTACTTGCTTCCTCGCTTGTTCGAGACCTTCTGGTGTTTCTCTCCCTCGGTTTTCGATGGCGTTGCGTTGGTGTTGCAGGACAGCTTCGCGGAACTGAGGTTGCGCCCAAGAAGAACGAAACAACTCTTTCATATCGTCGATAATGTGTGCGTCCTCGGATCTTAATGACACGGCGTTGAAATAATTCGCTTTAGTGATTATGAGAATGTGTACCATAGACATTCCGGCTCGACCTGGTTCATCGGGATACTGGCCCTCGGAGAAAGAGGATTTGTTCCCAATGATAAACAAATTGTCGTCTTCAGCCAATATGTTTAAATCTTTCTTATTTTTTGCATCTGTGAAAGCCGTCTCGGGTTTGATCCAATTGCGTATGTCTGTTTGATACTGATGGCCTTCTTTGTTGCTTAGGTGGGCGTGAGCGTCGACTCTGGCATTAGGCTTAAGAAGAAACTTTGTAAACATCTCGTGAATTAATTCTCGTTTGCCTTTAAAATCTGGAATTGTCAGAAGATTTTTCAGAAGATTTATCAGAAGATTTCCCATGATTATACACTGTAGATTACTAGAAAGGTGATTACCGAAGTGAATTCCACCGGGTCTACCATGCTACGCTCGATTCTATCTATATCATATTGTTCGTTGTGCGTCATATCCGTTATGAAAGAGAACAAACAAAGTAAAGAGACTAGCTTCCTCTGCTTGAGAGTACCCGGGTTCTCAATACGAGTTCCTACTGTATTGGTAAACGTAAACCGGGGCCTGGTCTTTGGGGAGACAAAGAAAGATACCTTGGCCGATGGGGCATGATGAGGGCCCCTTGGAATTGCAATTCCTCGACCATCTTCAACAGTTCTTGAGGAAGAGGTAGGTATGTAAAAAGGGAGTTGAGACGTAACAAGAAAAACTACGACCCAACGAGGTTATACACTTCGACTATCTAAGAAGTTGGTAAAACTACCTAAAATGATCTTATATTGATGAAGCTCAACTCGGTGCTGTCCACTACGTTTCTACTAGGTAGACAATTTACCAAGCTAAGTACTATCTAACCCTTTGTATTATTCCTTGATTCCTATTAACATAGATCGTTGTCTATTCAGATGGCACTAAGCCATATGCAGAACGGTTTGGCCGGTTGCGGATTCTAATTTGAACTATCGCCGTTTTCAGAGTCCTTTAGAAAAATCTCTTTGTTCAACTAGGTGCGGACCTCGGTAAAATAATAGTTAGGAATGTTGATTAAGTGATATATTAATGAAAATCAAAGAGATTGATTAAGCTCTACAGTGATTTATCTGACTAACCTACTAGTGGCTATGAATGTAGTCACGAACCTCAAGGGCGTCCTTGGTCTTATCGTCATGGACGAAAGTGCTATACTGGCGGCACCAAGGAGGCGTAGCGATGATGTGTAAGTGTAGGTGACCAATACTGTGATCAGGCCACAAGTGCAGACCGAAAGTGAAGTCATCTACAGTTAGAGTATGGATCATACTCTCTAGCTCCCTGTGGTGTACCATGGCTTTCAGATAAGTTTCCTTATTCTTATCGACCTTGTAAGCACCTTCGATGGCCTCCTCCTGGTGCTTCAGGATAGCTGTACGGAAGTCCTTTGAGGCCCAGTTGTTCTGGAAGCAGGAAATCATCTCGTCGATGATGACGACGCTATCAGGGTTTAGAGACACGCCATTGAATAAGTTCTTCTTGGGGATCCCCAGAATATGAATCATCGACATGCCGGCCCGTCCCTCGTTACCCGGGTACTGTACTTTGGCGAATGAAGAGTGGTTGCCAATGAGCATTGAGTCCCCATTAGCACCGTAGGCAAACACTTTGCCCTTGTATTCCGTGAACGGGGTGTTCTTCTTAATCCACTTGGGTTCGTCGAGGAAGACGTGGCCGTCAGTATTGTTAAGATATGCATCTACATCTACCTTAGCTGTAGGCTGGCTGTGGAAACGCTTGCACTGCTCTGCGATCTTTTCAGACTTGCCTGCGAAAAGACGGTTTACAACTTGGTTCTCCATGATTTAGTTATATTTTGTGTTTATTACTGTCGTTGTTGGTGGTACTACTACTGCTAGTCTCCCACCTCATCCATCCAGAACTCGATTCTATATACATGATATCATTCTTTCTTCTCTTCTGTGCCCAAATCCTGAGTGGATATATCGCTTTGTTTCTTTCAGGGCGAAAGTAATGATGATACTTGTGGAGACAAAGCGGATAGAGGCATCTCAACCCTTGAGCCCATAGTTCCTTGAAAGCTGCTTGAGACATCTTCAAACTAGGCATTCAAGACATAAGGCCTTTCCTATCCTTTAGAGTCTGGATAAAAGAAGCGCTTTAAGGTTGTTAAATACACAATGCATTATGTAGGTTATTTTCTTCGAAGAGGAGGAAAACCCCAGACCAGGCAACAATAGGTCAACTCTTGTACATTTTTCTCAACAAAGTAAACAAAAATACACAATAACTAAGTAGGAACCTTCTTAGGCTACATGACTTTTATTACCAAACTGTTAGACATGCAAGTTACCTGGAAAAAGGACACACGTTTTCCGTTTGTTCGACAAAAGCTATGATCCTAAGGGCTCAACTTGGTGTAAGGGAAGCCATCGTTCTTGAAAAACGACCAGTATCATTCGGATGGTTCCAATTACCTACATTACCATCCATAGTTCGGAAGTAATTACCTAGGTAGGTACCTACTCTTTTTATACCTACCGTACCTACCTTATTACCAAGTACGTTCATTAAGAAAACTTTATATATTAGCATTAGCTTGCGGTGCCTCCCTACGCCAAGACACTTTGATAGAAGTTTTTGTTTATCTCAGAAAACATGACTTTATATAGTATAGGGTACCTATCTAAATATACAAATCTCATAACCTACTTAGTAGGTAGATATATCAATCTTTCAGTGGAGGGATACCTTATTATCTTGCTAACAACTGTATTTTTATCCCCTAACCCTAACCCTAACCCTAACCCTGGCGCTAATTTCCCCGCATATGAATTGAACAGCATGTTGGAGATAAGTCTTAATTCAAGGAACCAACAACTTTTCTCCCAGTTTTCACATATCAAGGGCCATGCTATAGGCAAGGATAGCTCATCTACGGATAACTTAACGAATTGCTTGTTTGAAGATAAAATAGGAGTTCCGCGCGCCCCGGCAGCCCGGTTAGGTTTAGATGTTGAAGCTAAGCTTTTCCCCCAGAAAAAATTACCCCTGTCATCTCCACGCTAACAAAGGATGGGGACGGTATGATATCACTTATAGCAGGGATTGATTTGATTAGCTGTATTGGTATTGGTCGGTGCATCTCGGGGGCTTTAATCTCGAATGCTCAAATGACCTTCTATATGTCACCCCATGGGTTTCAACGAGAGCTATCGTTAAACAGGCAAAGCCGCGTAAGATGGCGCTCCATATGCTTCACTAAAGGCTAGAACTCGGCATGTCCATTACCATTTCGCGGAATGGTCGTCCCGACGAGATTAGAAGACAACGTAATCTATTCGCCAATGTAAGGGGTGCTACGGTACTACGGTACTCGACCGGCTCGCCTAGGTGCACTAGCTATGTACCTATTCACAAACAATGAAGTGAATATGATAAATGACTAAAAGTCATGTCCATTTTACATAATATTTCTTAAATATTTCTTATACAAAACCACCAGGTAGGCTCAATGTTTCTACTTACCTACCTAGGTAACTTTGTTTCTCCTTCTTGGCATATAAAGGGCGCGCCACCAGAACTCTCAACCACGCGACGGTAGCTCCAACGCCTCAACGGTTCTTAGGGTTGTTATTTATTGGCTTGGGACCCCAAATAGTTGTCCAACTTCGAATCCCGCCCCAAGTAAGCTAATCAAAAGCCACTCGTCGCAAAATGGATATTATCAAAGGGGACGACCTGAAGCCCACACAAGACAGACACGAGGATGCAGCCGCCAGCATCGACGAAAAGGCCGAAAATAATGTCCACCATATCGATCCGGCCATCGAGAAGAGAGTTATTAGGAAAATAGATCGAGCCGTGATTCCCCTGGTCATGGGACTTTGTGAGTCTTCTCTTTCGCTTACCTATATGTCGTGTAACTTCATTACTTACTTATCTCTGGCTATTAGATCTAGTCGCATTCCTAGACCGTTCGAACATTGGAAATGCCGAGACTGCCGGAATGTATGTGCCTTCAAATTCATCGAGTTCTTGTTGCTTTCTTTCAGCGCCAGGGCCTTTCATGGGCGTTCTGCGTTCTGTCAAAGACGAGTGGCGTCCACTAGAAACGCCCTGAGTCATAGCGCTGCTCTAAGCTGACAGCTATTCTCACCCCGCAGGAGCAAGGACCTTAAATTTGATGATGCTCACTATCAGGTTTGTTGAGAAACCCCATGCAATACCTTGTGTTATACTAATGTCTTGGCAATATAGTGGTTATTGACGATATTCTATATACCATATAGTGAGTTCTTACTTGATTTCGAATCTCACCCTATACGGCTCAATAAAATTAACTCTCTACAGTTGTATTTGAATGGGCTGCATTGATGTGGAAAGTTGTACCTCCGTAAGTTCTTTCTCCTTCCTAATGTTATCAAATGATTGAGTCTTCAACTAACAACCATTTATAGTCACAGTACGTAATACCTTACTAAGACCCTATTATTTAAAGGCTTAGACGTATATCTACGGCACAGCAAGCTATAATATTTTTTAAAGGGAAAGGAAGAAGATATATTCATTATTTTCAACTATTTCCTTGTACTTATCATTTTAGCACATTACTAACTGGTGCATCCTAGTCTGGGCATGCTGCTGTGTACTAGTATGGTAAGTAATCTCGTCTTGAACATACATAAACATATCAAAAACTCATAAATGCACAGGGGTCTAGCCTCGACTCTTCAGGCCGCGGCCTTCAACTGGCAAGGTCTGATGGTCTGCCGATTCTTCCTTGCCATGGCCGAAGCCGGTTACGGACCCGGTGTTCCGTACCTACTCTCTTTCTTCTACAAGCGACATGAACTAGGTTTCAGATGCGGTATCTTCCTCTCTGCCGCCCCTCTCGCGACAACATTCGCCGGGGCATTGGCATACGGGATCACATCAGGTCACCCAAGCATACCCAATTGGAGAGTACTATTTCTCGTGGAAGGGCTCCCTTCGATTGTATTGGCGGCTCTCGCCTATTTCCGCTTACCCGATTCTGCGGACACGGCGAGGTTCTTGGACGAAGATGAGAAACGAGTTGCTAAGCTACGTGCTATCCAACAGACCGGGAGTGAGGGGACAGAGCGCATAGGTCATATCAATTTCAAGGATGTTTTCATGTCGCTTCTGGATGTGAAGACTTGGATTCCGCCTCTGAGTAAGTGTGCCTACATTTTACCCCTTTCCCGTAACATTTTCGAGGCTACAATGACTAACCTGAATTATTTACAGTGTATTTCAGTTGCAATGGTTCGTGCTACCATCCCCAAACTTCTAATATAGGCACAACTCAACCTGAACTAACCACCAAAACAGTTTCCTTCAGTAGTCTCCCCGTCTTCCTCCCCACCATCCTACAAAACATGGGTTTCACCGCCATCAACGCCCAAGGTCTCAGCGCACCCCCCTACTTCCTCTCCTTCCTAGTCTGTATCGCATCGACCTGGGTCGCCGACAAGACCCGCCAGCGAGGCTACATGATCATCGCCCTGTCCCTCATGGCCGGCGTCGGCTATATCCTGCTCCTAACCTGCAAGAGCGTCGCCGTCCGCTACTTCGGCGTATTCCTCGCTGCCGCCGGCGTCTTCCCCGCTATCTCCAACATCCTGCCCTGGACGATAAACAACCAGGGCAGCGACTCGAAGCGCGGCGCTGGCATCGCGCTCCTGAATATCGTCGGTCAGTGCGGGCCGTTGCTGGGTACGCGTGTGTTCCCGTCGAAAGATGCGCCGTATTTCCATATGGGCATGGGGCTGTGCGCCGGCTTCATGTTCTTTAATGCGTTGTTGGCTTTGACGCTGCGCACGTATCTGGCCTGGGAAAACAAGAGGTTCGAGAAGGCCGATGAGGCGGCTAGACAGGCGGGTATTGATCCCGAGTCCAGTGCTACTGGGGTGGAGAATTCCGGGTATGGGTTTAGGAACTTTTTGTAGAGGGGCGGGAAGCCCATCATCTTGTGTTGGCTGTTTTGAAAATGTGCAGAGGTCTAAGTCTTGAAAAATACATTCCAGCGGCTATATGCGTCGGAGTAGGTGGAAGATCAGGTAGAGAATCATGATATCTGTTCTCCCTTGTCAATCGAAACCAGCTAATTGTACTCAAGCGGTTAATAGTTCTTAACGACAAACTTTATAGCTAAAAGAGCGTGGTGCTATTTGCTAACCAACACCTAAGACACTTTTCTACACCTACCCCCCACCCCCTACACAGCAACCACGGCCCTCGCATCCCCCACCCTTCCATAAGTCTCCCCATACCTCACAAGCATATGCTCCTCCGCCGTCAACACCCTCCCCCCTTCCCCGACCTCCACCGGCTCACTCCCATCAAAAGGGCGTAACTCCACATCCGTATTCCCATCGAAGAAGAACGGGACGGAGTACCGGTCGCGCCCGGAGCGGTTGACGACGCGGTGCACGGTGGATTTATACGCGTTCTTCGTCCACATCGCTAGCATGTCCCCAATGTTGACCACGTAGGCTTCCGGGTTGGGCGCTACGGCGATCCAGTGTTTGGTGTCCGGGTCTTGGACTTCGAGACCGCTGGCGGAGTCTTGCAGGAGGAGGGTTATTGCGCCTGGGGGGTTAGCTGGTTTTTTCTCCCTTTTTAAGGGGGAAAGAGGAAAAGGGGGAAAGGGGAACGGGGAGGACGAGGAGGTTAAATGAAAAGTGGGATGGAAATACCGAAATCCGTATGCGCCCCAGCGCCCAACTGCTTCTCGTCCGTCGAGTCCTGGGGCGGGTAGTGCAGCAGTCGAATCGCGCATACCGGGTCCCCCGAGATAAAAGGGACGAACACGTCGTTACCGTACGGTAAGCCCCGGGCTAGGATCTCCATGACCTTGCACGATAGCGCGAACACGGCGTCGTAATACGTTTCCGTGGGGGTTTTGAGTACTTCGTCTGGGAGTGAGGCAGGGAAGATGTTGGGGCCGATGAGGTAGGGGTGTGATTTTGAGCGCGGGTCTGAGGCTGGTATGTGTTGCCCGATGAAGAAGCCCTAGTGTAGTGTTGGTGATATGAATGTGGATACGTCTGGGAATAGAGTAGTAGGGGGCTCACCTCTTTAAGATCGGGTTTAGTGTCTGCTTGTAAGGCCTATTCAGTTGAAGACCATCAGGTTAGTGATGCTCAGTAATTTCTCATATACCATTCTCTCGGGCTTCAATAATTCGCTGACAACGAGAGGTAACAAAATCACTTTCACCCTTAGTCACTCACCTGAGAGCCTATCACTTCGTACCCCCTATTCTTCAAGACCGGCACTCGCATCAATTTCTTCTCTTCTAGCGGGAGGTTGAAGAAAGTCTCTGCAGCCTTAAACACGCTATCACGCAATTCCTTCGGCACTCCATGGTTGGTGATTTGGAAGACTGGGACGAATCGAATTAGCAAATTTCTTTTCTTAAGAACTGATAATAAGGACATTAATATATGAGAATTGATCGTGTTTGGAACTCATGACCGCGGACATGAGCACAAAATAAGGTACCTACGGATAAAAGCTAGGTAGCGATCTTAGAAATTTACCACTTACATCCACTCGTAGAACAAGCCTGCTTTACCTCCTCAACAACCCTCGCCGACGCCTCCGACGACGGGTCCTCGAGGTACGGCGATATATCGACCGTCGGTATAACGAACGCGTCTTCAGCAGCCATTCTGACGCTACGATTGTCTTTCCTCTCCCTCTTCAATATCTGATATATTCTTAAATACTCGAGTCCTTAACTTAAACACATAGGTCTAACCCGTCAAACCATACAGCTAAACCAGTAATTCTCACAACATTAGGTAGGCTTGGGATTCTACGATATTATTAACGATATCTCACAGAACACCTTTAAATACATACCCCACTCTTGAGGCTGGAGTGAGACGGGCATCGTCTGCGAGCATTATGCAAATGCTATCAGCGGGGAACCTTCACGGAAGACGGCGGCCACCGGTCGCCGTAAACCTCTTATCACGCTCATGTAGGCCTTACAATCACTATACATACCTACCACTGAAAGTGGAATTGATATGCGCGGTCAACATTCCTATATGCAAACCCAGAGTGGTGGACGACGAAGGTCAAGAGTGGGGTCATATAAAAAACAAGGGGTTGCATCATGTTCTGCTTCGTTTTCACGTAAGTCTACGACTTCTAGAATGTCTGAACCGACTGATTACTTGTCCCTATCATTACATTATCCGGACGCCGAAAACAATCGAGGTAATCTTACATAGGCTCGTGTCTGATAAACATACTCCTCAGGATCCCGTAGAATACCGCCATTTCAGGACCTAAGACTGTATAGTGTATGCCCGATAAGGGAATTGCCCGGTCATAGTATGCTGCATACTCGTTGTGTGACGTCGGTCAACTCTTGCTTATATCCTTGTTCCGCTGTTGCTGAATAGAACTCCTACTTGCTTCCATTTCTGTGTTTGCGGCGATTTTTCTTCTTGTGCTCCTTATGCGCCGAAGATGTGCCTTCATCTGATCCTGCAGTAACAGTCGTCTCCCCTTCATCTGAAACCTCTGATATACTACTGCTAGCCTCAAGTATCACCTTGGTGATACCACCTGATTCAACAATATTCTCGGTTATGCTGCCGCTGCGTACGTGACCTCTTCGACGCCCGACACCGTCTTGGAAGCTCTCGACGCTTGACGTGGATTCTTGCGTGGGCGAAGTCTCATCTTTAACAGTGGCGCTGAGCTTGGTTTGCGTGCCTCGGGTCACTTGCTCCGAAGTCTCCGCGTCAAAGCTCGTTACAATCTCGGGAGGGGTACTAGACTTGATAGTGGAGAGCGGTTCGGTGTAGTTCTGCTGAAGGGCTTGGATTCCGTCCTTGCCATCCTTGGCGTTGAGTCGAGATCCTAGGAGACTTGAGCGTTCATCTACGACAGCTATCAAATCATCGGAAATATCATCTGTTGCAATAGAACCCGGTTGTCGAGCGCCGGAGTTTGCTGCGGGCTTAATTTTGACTGCCGCAACCCGTGTGCTCTTGGGGTTAGATGCTGGGTTAGATGGGCCAAGATGCTTGAAGTGATCTCTCATTTCCTCAAAATTGGCCTTCACCGGTATAGTCGTGTGTACTAGTTGGCCGTCCTGGCCTGCCGAGCGTCTTCGCATTAGCAACGTCGTCATCCTTGGGCTAGAACTAAGAACAGAGGCCTCAGTTCTACTGCTGACAGAGCCAGTTCTCTTAACCTTAAGCGGGTGTCCGACTTCCTCTTCTATGTCGATGAGATTGGCATTCCTGCTCTCGAGGTCCTTAGCCATGAGCTCCTTTCTCATCGCCCTTGCTTTAGGGGCGGGGTGAGATCTACGAATAGCCTTATGAACATCGACATATACATCAGATTCATCAATGATTTCCCTATTACCGGTTAGTTGTAAGTGGGGGCTGAAGACTGGACAATGTACTTACTCTCCAATGAGCTCTTCAATCACATCCTCAAGCGTTACCACACCTAGAGCACCGTGATCTTCACCAGGCGATTCTGAGATGAGAACCATATGCGACTTGCCTTCTTGGAAAAAGTTGATGATATCCAGGCAGCTAGTTTCCGGCCGGGTCTCAGGTAGAGCAGCAAGGGCAAAGTCTTTGACTCGTTTACCATCCTCGGGATCGTAAGTAATGAGAATCTTGACTAAGAGCATACCCACGAAATTTGTTGGCTTGCCTGTCTGATGGATAGGAATACGGGAATAACCGGCGTCGAGAATCTGATCGATGGTCTTCTCATCCAGTACAGTATCCTCGGACATGGTATAGACATCCTCCATAGGGGTCATCACCTCCTCAACTGCCTTGCGTTTTAGATCAAGGACAGCACTGATGATTGTGACCTCATCTTGATTCAGTCGTTCATCAACTTCACCAAGTGACTTGTGTAATGTAACTAATGTTTTTAATCCACTCTTCTTGTATACAGTTCCGTGATCCTCTCCGAGTAACCAGTCGAGTAGTTTCGCAGTGGGCCATGCGAGCGGAGCGAGTAAATACATCATTATAAGGACGGGCTTAGACATATATCCGCCGATCTGAAGGCCATAACGAACGCATACGGACTGTGGCAATACTTCACCAAAGATGACTATAGCGAAGGACATATATTAGCATAGCTAGTAAACAAAGACGTAGGGACACAACGTATAGAATCTCTTACCAATAAGAACAGTACTTCCAACAACAGCAGCAACACCACCGCCAAAACACCTGTCTAAGACAACGGGAAGCGTTTCATTTACGATGACGTTAGACAGAAGTAATGTCACCAATACCCAATGTTTTCCCTTGCTAAGCAGATCATGAACGCGTTTCGCGTTTTTTCGTTGAGGTTCTTCGATGTCGAGAGCTATTACTTGGAGGTATATTTCGTCTTGGCCCATAAGAGCTATTGTTAATCCGGCGAAGGCGCCTCCTAGAAGTACAAGGATAATTGACACGCCGTAAAGCACGTAGAGGGCGCCATCCTCAGCTTCTTCGGGTGCATTGTCGAGGGATCGAGAATAAAGAGGTATCGGGGCAGCAGACACTAGGCCAAGAGACAGGAATAAAGCCCTTGACAAACTAAGCACAGCTGTACGGGCACGAAGGATGCCTTCGTTTCCCATGCTTCTTGGAATATTTTGGTGGAAAAAAATCGGTAAAGACAGGCCTTCAAAATTGAGTCGAAGGAATACGAGACGATCGATCGGTCGGGGATGTATTACAAGATTTTATATTGTAAGTGAAAAGATAAACTCCCTGTGTGATAGGCAATTGTTTCGGCGAAGCGCAGGCAGCTGTGCAGGACGCAGATCGAAGGACGCAGGTCACAGGTCACCTCGGCCGAGCCAAAACACGGTTGAAAATCTGGATGTCTCTAGAATATCTCTGGATAACGCTATCGACCAGATCTACTATCTAGGCTTGAGGGGTCAATGGATGAGGTATTTACGAATATGGTCAAAAGACCAATTCATCCATTGGAGATCTCGTAATTTGGATTAGCTTGATGGCGGTAAAGGTGGTGGTTGCAGGTACTGGGTATTGGCGCTGGCGGCGATGGCGGTGTTCGATTTTAAGCTACTAGGTACAATACGGAGTCGGGGTGAGACGAGGAAATTAGAAGAAAAGCGGATGCAGCATCGAATGGCTGATGACGAATGGTTTATCCAATTGATGACGGGACCCAGATAAGACTAAGACAAGCTCATGTGGGGAACAAAGATGAAAAAAGAAAATCCTAAGAATCCTACTGGGCGTCTGTGGCGGAAACGAGCCGAGGAAGGCAAGTGGGCTGGAGCTACCCTTGCAAGTTCTGCCAAGCTGTGGCTATGTAATCGAGATTTTTGCCGAACAGCCGGACTTTAGAAGTCTACTAGGTAGTTTAGGATTAGGTAATCAGGTATTCATTGATATAATCATCATCTATAGTCATTTCATGCTTCTATTTAACTTCTATGTAAAGTCGCATCCATGGATATATACCATATAAATATCAATCATACCATATGGCATTCATCCCAAACCCCGGTTCGGGAATCCTACACCTAGCGACGCGACCCAGGAACTCGTCTTTCCACCGATATATCTCGATCCACCCGTCCTGATCATCCGTGATCGCCAACCACTCCTCGCTCCAATCACACGGCGCGACGGCGTTGCTATGCCCACCACTCGTCGGCGTTGGGTTCAAGCAGATCTGCTGCTCGATCGACCCGCAATCGCGCAGCCGGAACGCCGCGATGTAGCCCTGCAGGTCGAAACTGTTGGCCCGACTCGTCGCAAAGAGGTAGCGTCCCGACTTCGTGAGCGCGCACACGTCGCTACGGTACATGGTGTCGTGTTTAGGGATCCCCGGCGGGATTAGCGGGTATGAGTGGTGCGTGTAGACAGGCATGTGCGTCGCCGGGTCGATGACGTACTCGCAGAGCCGGTTACCAGCTTCCATGAGTGCATATAGATAATTTCCCGTCGGATGCATCGCCACCCAGCGCGGGTGGTCCTTCGGATCCGGCGCATCCACACTTCCCACCAGTTCGACTTCACCTGACGAAGCTTTCTTATGCACCCATATCTTATTTGCTTTCAAGTCAGCCGAGTAAAGGTAAGTCTCGGTCGGATCGAATACCATGCCGTGGATACCGGTATTAGGTTGGTATGGGAAGTGCTGTATGTCTTTTTCGAGACCTCCGGTAGATGACACGGAGAACACGGATCCATGGCCGGCATGTGTGTAGAACGGATTGCAATAGACGGCGTAGGGAGGTTGTTTTGCGGCAAGTAGGAAGATGGCGCGGGTGTTGGTCGTGGCCAAGCTTGCTTGTGCTACGTGCCACGCATCAAGGATCAATTACCGGGCTGGCTAGACAGGTCCTTGCGAAACTTACGATCATGGTTCATCGGATGCGACGCTTCGTGGACGATCTCTGTCGGACTCTTGACGGCAAAACTGGACCATTTCTTCATGGCTGCGCCGTATATGTTTTTCTTGGCATGCTAGAGGAAAAGTATGGTGAGCATTGAAAGCATGGAAAGTTGGGCAGTTCCAATAGAATCTGGACTGGCTCATTCGACTCACATCAAAAGTCATCCATGAGATTGGTTCATCGTGGGGAATCTCAGTTCTCTTCACCAACTCCAACGTTAATTTCTCATCGTCGAAAGCTACAGTGAATATAGCTCCTGGTGGAGTCCATGTTCCTATCATCAAGTGATGAATTGGCATCCTTGCTTCTTTTCGCCAGATCAATTGAGAAGCAGTTTTGAAAAGCCGTGGCCTATTCATGCGACGAGAAGATAAACATGAAGAGTCGAGAAATCAATCTCCACCAATTCACTCGACAGCGATAGTCAATCTACTTTGTGCTCAATGGTCGATCATGGTTACAGTACAACTTTCTTCAACGCGGATGTCAACAGGGCCAGAATTGTTCCAATCGAAGCTAACTGGCCTGTCATTACATTACATTAACATCTCCGACGGTAGTAAGCGAAGCATATGAGATTCACTAAATTGTCCCCGCATCTACTTGGCCATATCTCGCCCCCCCTCCCACGGGTTATTGCACCATTGCTAGAGCCACGATGTGGGGAAGAATCGACGTTATCCTTCTAACAATCGGCACCGCTAGCGGGAAACGGTAAATGGCCACGGCACACGGCACAGGGTCAATTCACTGTCAGTTACCGAGTGAGCGGCTACCTGCTAGATCTTCGTTTTCATTTGCCACGCTACAGTGCCGGATAAACGCCTCATCGTCAGATTTTCCCCGCCATATTATACTATGTACGTTTCGGTTCCAAGGTCGATTGTATTACACGACAGAAAATAGTCTCACATTACTGGATCGTCGATATTCAATTGAGTCCAATTGAATCCGATTGAGCCGTTGAGACGATTCTCTTACATGATCTTACAAACACATAGGTAGTAGACATCAGCAAGTGCTAACTACCTAGTACATAGAATCCATCAGGGTCCAACTTCAAAAGTATAATGATCATGACCAAGGTTTCATCTGGTAAAAACCACCAATTACAGGAGTTTAAGAAGAAGCTATTTCCCTACCTACCTAGGTAGTAGGTACATAAATAGCATCCCTTGAACCCGAAACGACACGCGACCGCCGAGCTAGAAGCTCTAGAAGCCAACCACTAAGCTTGTTCCCTTCTTAAGGGCGATTTATCACCCGAGAGGCCAGGGAGTTTAATATCGCTGCCGTGAGAGCAATCCGATCCACCTACGTCCACATATAGGGGCCTTTTGATGACGGCGGGGTTTCTCGATCTTCAGGAACCAACCTATCATAGATGATCCATTGCTCATGCTGCTCATATTATGAAGGGATCGGTGGTAAAACTTAAATGAAGTCGGTGTTTCTATTTGATGTTTGTCTTTGTCCGTGTATTAAAGTTCCTCCTCAGCTGTCGAATATATCTAGCCGGTGCCCAGATGATAGTCTAGTGTAATATTCACACACACCTATCCTCTACTCATACATACACTCATCTTCCGTCGTCATTATTCTACCTAGAGTGTACACACATAACTTCACACTCACCTGAACATAATACCTTGAATTCATTAGCAGCTCATTTCTTCCTAATCTACCTAACAAAATGGCCACCGAGACAAACGGCGCATCCAGCGCTCCTAAACCCTCCAAATATGACCCTAACTTCACACAACACGTCATCGATACCATGGGCCCTAACACAACACCTCGGAACCGAGTTGTCTTAGGAGCTCTAATCCGCCATATCCACGATTTCGCGCGGGAAGTCGACCTCACAATTGACGAGTGGATGGCTGGAGTACGGTATATCAACGCAGTCGGACGAGTGTACTCAGAGTCAAACCAAACACGCAACGAAGCGCATCGTCTCACCGACATCCTCGGCCTCGAATCACTCGTCGACGAGATCGCGCACAAGATCATCTCCGACACCGACACCGACCCGACTTCCTCCGCAATCCTCGGTCCCTTCTGGAGCCCCGACGCGCCCTTCCGCGAGAACGGCGGAACCATCATCCAGAACCCCGCCAAAGACGGGCGCGTCGTCCTCATGCACGGCGTCATCTCCGACCTAATCACCGGCAAGCCGATCCCGGGCGCCGTCTTCGACATCTGGCAGGCTTCCGCGAACGGCAAGTACGATTTCCAGGACCCGGACAACCAGACCCCGAATAATCTACGCGGCAAATTCAGGGCGGACGAGAACGGGAAGTACTGGTTCTACTGCTACTACCCGACGGCGTACTCGCTGCCGAGAGACGGGCCCTCGTTCCAGCTGTTGACTATGATGGACCGACACCCGATGAGGCCCGCGCACATCCACATCATGGTAAGTTCTCACTCCCCACCCCAACTCACCCAACCCCCCTTCCAAAACCGCCACAAGATAAAAGCAATATGTACCTCGTTCAATCACTTACACAAAACCCCAGGTAACACACCCAGACTACAGAGGCTGCACCACGCAACTCTACCCCAAAGAAGACGAGTGGCTTTCCTCCGACACCGTGTTCGCCGTGAAAGACGACTTAGTCGTGGACTTCAAGCCGCTCGAGGGCGATAGCAAGGCGAAGCTCGAGTTAGATTACAATGTCATCTTGGCGCCGAAGGATTATAAGGGGAAGCCATTTTAAACGAGATTATCTTTCCGAGAATCGTAAACTTTGACCTAGGGTCGCGTAACTAGAAGTTTAGGATCGGGTTGGCGATCATACATAAGTATCGGAGTTTAAACGAAAAGAGGATGCGTGCGCATACATATCGTGGAAGTGGCGGTGCGGTAGCAAGTCGCGGAGCTCGGTTGGAGTTGTTGCAGCTCCTAGAGGAAAGGGGCAGACGCAGACACTCTTATTGGCGAGGGATGGGATGATAGGCGTTCTAATGTCTCAGCGCCGATTTCTGTATTTATACGAAGCTGCATGAAGCTGTCTTTGAGCTGCAGCGTACGAGGTAATGAATTAACAAACGCCCATTGCAGCGATCTGAACATATACCGAGCCCGGTTGCCAGAGTATCGTGAGAAAACTGGTGATGTTCAATTAGATACTAGGTAGTGAATTTCTATTAGGAGGTTTAAGGGCGGACGAAGAGAGATACTTGATCGATACTCATTAACGATACAATTACGACTACTACAAAGTACAATTCAAAAGCCACCCATCACCAACCCAACCCCTTCAACTCCGGGTCCAATCAATCGATCACCTCCCCACTAACCCGAGCTAGCCAGTAGTGTTACAGCCCACCAAACCCCAAACCGAAGTCCGATCTAGCGAGCTAGATCCCGAAGTTCCGCACCTCGTTCTCCGCGGTCTTCTTGTCGAGACAAAAAGCGAGGCCCTCACTAATCCCGACGCATCGGCTTCTCCCCTCGCAAGATTCTTCGTGGACCCATTTACCTTCGGGATCACAAGTTTGGACAGTGGTATTGCGCAACGCGCACCTTTGCCATCCTTGCTCGCAAGACGGGGCGAGGGGAGCAGGGAGTGGTGCTGTGAATTGAGATATAATCGGGTTGGCCTGCTCTGCGAAGTCCCAAGTGCAGTTAACCTTGGTGTTGTAGAGCTGCGTGCAGTTGGGGCACTACGTACAACGATGGGATCAGTACAAGATGGTTTGGAAATTCAAGGGGAATTGGGAGATCTTAACAACATACCGGACCGAAATCCTCCCACGTGTGCGAAGTCATACACACGTTAACACGGTCGCCATTACACTTCACCTCGCCCCCGAAGCAAGGGTTATCCTTAGAAACGCCCACATCGGGGACAGATCTCGACGCCAAAGAAGGGAGCTCAAATGAAGGCGAGGGTGGAGCCGGGGCTTTGTCTACGGTTGCGATCGCCGTCATCCTCGGCACCGTCGGGCTCGCCGCAGGCCTAGTAGGAGCCGCAGTTTCGGCCGCGTTTGTGATCGAGGGACGGGGAATGCACAGGGTCTGGCCGTTGCCGTCGTCGTCGCACCTAGCACAGCGTTGGATAGCATGCCACTGGCGATCGTTATCGCACATCTCGAGCCAATTGCCCGTGCATCTCAGAGTGCCCTCATGGCACACGGGACTCGGGGGTAGCGAAGGCAGGGTGTTCGGGACGCAGTCCACGACGCCGTCGGCGTCCTGACTGCAGTCGAAGCATTTCTGCAACTTCTCCCACCGGAACCCGTCGAGACAGACTTCCTGCCACTTGCCTGAGCAGCGGAACTCGTTAGGCTTGCAGGGAGTTGGCGTCGGCAGGTTCGCTTCGATGGGGATGCAGTTCACCACCCCGCCGGGCTCCTCGAAGCATTCACTACAGCGCTCGACTTCCCGCCACCCGGCGCTGTCGTCCCACATCTCCTCGCATGGTCCGTTGCACCGAAGGTCCCCCGTATGGTGCACTCCCGGCGGGAACGCCCCGAATTGCGTAAGAGTTGGTGTTGGGGTCGTTGCCTGCGTTAGAGGTAGGTCATCCTTCTTAGGGGGCAAGTCATTCATGTCTTCAGATAGCGAGGGGGCCGGAGTCGTGGCCGGGGCAGAACGTTTAAGCTCCACGTTCGAATCCAGACACACGGCGTCTTTCGTGTGCCTGTCATCGAAGCAGTGGTTTGGGGCTATGCATTGGACGTCGCCGACCCATTTTCCCTGCGTACTACACCGGTAGATAGTGTCTTCGTGGCATATCTTGGTACCCGGGGCGCAAGGTCTGAATTGGGGGTTGTGACCGTATAGGACGCCTCCTAGGACTGAGCCTGATAGGCTTGTTACAGCCAGGAGGAGGTGAAGACGTGTCATAATGGGGGCTTTAAAGCTTCTGTGAGTTGAGTTATGGGTATATTGGGTAAGTTAGAAACGATTGTGTAGTAAGGATACACTGAAGTATACGGGCAAAGCAAAGTAGAGCTGATTTGTTTCGGCTTGCTCTACCTTTCCAAAAGAATGATGGCCAAAATATTTGTTCTTGTGAGAGAGTTCATAACGAAATTAGGGTGCTTATTGAGATTATATATGGAAATAGATAAGAATATGACTTCCACGGTTAAGGTTACCATCATGTTCATAGCAGGAGTACTCCTTTCCTAACATACCTCGAGGTAGGTGCCCAGGTGCTTTACGTACCTGAATTTTACACTATGTCGCCGTCGCACCTCCCTCAACGCCACCAATTGTCAAAGCAGCTACGGGTCTGTTACCTCTAAGTTACCTACATATTGATCACATGCATATAACTAGTATATGTGTAGGTACGATAGAATACCTGTGTGTAACCACCCCTATCTTAGAAGTCGAATCCAAGCACTTGAGCTTAAGCCTCTCATTCTTAAGCCTCTACCTACATAGCAATTGATTCCTATCTTCTACATATAAAAGTACACGTAGGTAGGTAGAAAGGTTCCTATTGAATTTGTAACATCCGTGCCACATAACGGGAACCTGCCTTAGCGACATTTTTAGTTTACGTCCGTTATATACCTACCTATGACCTTCTCTCAATTACCTAGGCAATTACTAGGTCTTACAATATATCGTCACCTAGTAAGCAGAGTGTGGGCCTAATCTAGGTGTTTTATCGTTATATAAATTCTATTCGTGAGATAGTAAGGCCACCTGGCCAGACAAGAGAGCTTCGAGCACGGTGTCGAGGCAAATACTCAGAGGGCCTATCCTTAAGTACCGTCGAAGCTGACTTTCTCACGAACTTGCGTGTATTCAATGCACATGTGTGCCTTGACTCTAAGTATCGTTATTGGCAGGACCGTGTCTAGGTTAAATGGTGGCTCATGATAGTCTCTGTCGTTGTCTGCCAACCTTCAAGGAGGAACACCAATGTTTTATCCCCGCCCCCTCCTTTTCTATCGCTATCTGCGATAATGATATTTAATAGGTAGATAGTGAGGTCATACCTACAAATAATATCATAGCTTCCTGTGAATACCCGAAAAGGTTGCGACCCCATGTTTCGGTAACCAACCAAGTTTAAGCGTCTGTCCCAACCAGGAATTTTCCCCATGGGGAAACGATTCGGCTGTAACGAGCGACGATTGGTTATGCTTCAGTTATATCGTCTATTTCTTTCCATATCAATTCGGGGTGTGATTCGTACAGGAAATCTTTGACTTGTTTGCAAGGTGATGTAATGGTCGTGTATGTCTATTCGAAAGCACTTGGTTGTAGGTATAACAATAACTTATCTTTTCCTTGATTCTCTAAGTTGAACTTGGCAACGTTCTTGGATTACGGCCTTGTGATCTTTTAGTTAGCTCTTGGCGCTTTATAGACGAAAGCCTACCTCTACCCAAGCATCTATATTCTTGACTCGTCATAAGTCACGAGAACCACACCTGTAATGTTTAGTCTGTTTCAGCTTATTTCATAAGTAACCTCATCTAGTTGGAATATGGATGTTTAGAATGAGAGAAAACACCTTGTAGTATTGTATTGTACAACGTTCTTGTGTAAGTCGATCTGTTCTTTTTGCGAAACAAACAAAAAGCTGTGATAAATAAAGAACAAGGGAAAACCCCCCGCATCTTCAGATGCTAAGTTTAATTGTTTTCTGGGGCAGTTAAGGGATCTCCAATTCCCCAAATCTAACCACGTTTTAGAAGGTTTAGCGCTATCCTTTATCGCTAAGGGATGAGTTGGTTCTGGCGTCATTAGCACCTTATTAGGGCTTGATTAAGTAAAGCTCGACCAAGATTCGGCTGTCTAGCCTTCCATGGATGCTTATCCCTCTTGAAAGACAGGGGATGTCTATACGCGCCAAGACCCTGTTCCGCTCGTTGGTCCGTGATCACCTCATCAAAGACCCTCTATCCTTACGAATCCTCCTGATTATCTTTCAGCTTTTTTTTTTCCAACCTCATTGTTTTGAGCATCGACATTAATTACCACCGTACGGCCGTACGTGAGGGTTGGACATTCTTAATTATCTGGATTATTGGGCGCATTGGCTCGTTTATCCGAGCTCATTGTTTGTTCCGTATTGCTATCGCTGGTGCTTACGGCCACACCAGCGCCCTGACCCAACTTGGCCTTAACCCGTCGCGCGCGTCGATAGCTTAACAAGCCATGGCTACCATAACCGCTACAGTGGCGACGACATTGTTGTCAACCGTCACTACTTCTAGCGCTCCGGCCGCTACCACAACCGTCGCTCCTCAGGGAGGTATTTTAGATGGCGTTTTGCCAAATACTTTCAGTACCTCCAATCCTATACAACTTTTCATCATTCAGGTATGACTCCGTTTGTTATCTTGAGGCTTACTTCATCTCGACATTTGAGCCCCTCTCTAAGCCGCCGGCAAGCGCAAACAGACAGACGGCAATATCTCGTCGAGCCCTCAACATGAAAAAGAAGTCCCAAATAGAGGATGTTTACTTACTTGCCTCTAGGCCGGTATTATTATCATTCTATGTCGTCTTCTTCACTATCCTCTATCGCTTCTTGGTCAACCCCGCGTCATCGCCGAGGTCATCGGCGGTATCCTTCTGGGACCCTCTGTCTTGGCGCGCGTTCCACATTTTACCGATAACATCTTTCCGACGGCGTCTATGCCCGTCTTGAATAATGTCGCTAATCTCGGTCTAATCTTGTTCCTCTTCCTGATCGGTCTCGAAGTCGATATACGACTTTTCACCTCCAATTGGCGCGTTGCGTTGACTGTTGGCTTGGCTGGTATGATTCTTCCCTTCGGTCTCGGTTGTGCTATCGCTTGGGGCTTGTATCACCAGTTCCATAACGATCCCAACACTGTCGAGATTAGTTTTGGTATCTATGCCCTCTTCATCGGTACCGCCATCGCCATCACTGCCTTTCCTGTTCTCTGCCGAATCTTGTCCGAGCTTAATTTGTTGGGAACTCCCGTCGGTGTTACCGTGCTCGCTGCTGGCGTTGGAAATGATGTTATAGGTTGGATCCTTCTGGCGCTCTGTGTCGCGTTGGTCAATAATGGATCTGGTATAACTGCGCTTTGGGTTCTCCTCGTCGCTATTGGCTGGGTTCTGTTCTTAGTCTTCGGAATTAAACCCGTGTTTCACTGGGCCTTGAGGCGGACCGGCAGCATTCAAAATGGTCCAACTCAGGGCATGATTGCTGTCACAATTTTGCTAGTTCTTACTTCCTCTTGGTTTACAAGTAAGTGTGATCTGTCATTCACATTTCCGAACAATAAGCTGACTTATTCAGGTATTATTGGCGTTCACGCCATTTTCGGCGCCTTTCTAGTTGGTCTGATCTGCCCGCACGACGGTGGGTTTGCTATCCATGTAACCGAGAAAATTGAAGATCTCGTAACAGTCCTCTTCTTACCCCTTTACTTCGCCCTTTCTGGTTTAAGCACGAATCTCGGTCTCTTAAACGATGGAATCACCTGGGGTTACGTCATTGGAGTCATTGCCGTGGCGTTCTCGGGTAAGATTATCGGTGGTACACTGGCAGCAAGGGCAACGAAACTTGTGTGGAGAGAAAGTCTTACCATAGGAGTACTGATGAGCTGCAAAGGTTTGGTGGAATTGATTGTGCTAGTAAGTCATAGCAGTTGATATGCTAATGGTGCATTTACTAATAACTATACAGAACATTGGCCTCCAGGCAAGGATTCTATCACAGAGAACCTTCACTATATTTGTTGTCATGGCTCTTGTTACTACTGTTGCTACGACACCCTTGACAAAATGGCTTTACCCTCCGTGGTACCAAAAGAAGCTCGACCAATGGAAACGTGGCGAAATTGATTGGGATGGAAAGCCATTGGAAAGCTCCAATCAGTCCGATACTCTCTCCCAGATACAAGACACTGGCATACGCCGTCTTCTGGTTTATCTCCGCTTGGATAGTCTACCAAGTCTTTTTACATTCATTTCCCTTCTAGGTGATGAAAACGTCACACCAAAGGCCAGATCCGGAGAAGCCCTGGACTCCAATGCTAATGATGCTAGGAAGGTCTCAATTTCGCCTTCACGACCCCTCGAGGTCCACGGACTACGTCTCGTTGAGCTTACAGAGCGTACATCATCCGTGATGAAGGTTACCGAAGGCGATGACTATGCTAGCCGCGACCCTGTGGTCAACGCGTTTCAAACATTCTCTCGGCTTCATGATGTGGCAGCATCGGGCAATGTTATAATTGCCCCTGAGGACTCTTATGCGCGGACGGTTGTTGAACAAGCTTCAGTCCAGGAGTCCGACTTTGTACTAATCCCATGGAGTGATGTTGGAAGCAACAAAGACGATTCAACTACTCCGTTTAAAGCCCCGGTAGAAAATCGCTTTTCCGGAAAAGCTCATCTAGATTTCATCCAAACGGCACTATCCAAAGCTGTTTGCAATACAGGTATCTTCATCGACAATAAATTCAGCACATCGAGCAAAGTCCGCCCGACTCTACCCCGAACCATAAGCCACGTCTCGATGCGCAGCCTTAAAGGAGCTGCCATTCCTCCTATTACCGACAAGTCTCACACCATTTTCTTCCCTTATCTAGGTGGCGTAGATGACCGGGTTGCGTTACGCTTCGTTCTCCAGCTTGCCAAAAACCCGCTCGTCACGGTCACAATCGCCCATCTAAGCTACATTGAAGGTGATGACGAAATTGTGGGTGTTTCTGAGGGTAATTTGGACTCTGTCTCCCCAGAATCCATTTCTAAGGATATTATCAACACAGAGATAACCGCACAAGACTCGTCCTTAATATCTACCTTACAATCTAGCCTTTCTCCCGAGCTAGTAAGCCGCGTCACATTCACTAAGGTATCAGTCACCGCCAGTTCAGCAGCAAAACAAGCCACGGACCTGGCGAAGGAAAGTGTCGGGAAAAACCCGCGTAACGCAGGAGACATTGTCATTGTTGGGCGTAGGCACCCCAAGCTTCCTGCTAGTCTGAGAGCAGCAGATCAGAACAACACGGAATATGACATGCAGAAGACGATAGGTGTCTTCGGCCAGTCTATGGCTATGAGTGAGCTCAAGGCTAGCGTGCTAGTCATCCAAGCCGGAGGGTCAGGTCACGCGCATTGATTTGTATCATTATAAGCATCGAAGAGTCATTCCGGAACAGGAATTTTGATCTGTTTCTGTTGGTTTGCTTGTGATGAGTTGGATTTGGGTTTCAGGGTTCAAACACTTAGGTAACTTGGATAGGTGCTTTGGGAATGTACCTCATCATAAAGACGAGATGAAGGATTTGATGTACTGTTTGATTTATCTCGCTAGATACCTACCTACTACTTAGGCATGATGTACGTTGATTGCATTTAATGAAATTTTATATTACTATAGCCTGATCGAAATATATCGTCTAGCATGGTTTGATTCTTTGGTATAGCGAGCGATAGCGAATCAGGAAATGACTTCATGAGAGTTATCCCTCCATACATATACTCAATCACGTTGCTCACGGTTCCCCCATCCCAGCTTACCTACTACCCATCCAATAAGTCTGCCTATCTAGTATCTAGGTAGCCTGCCGTCGATCCTATCAAGCAGGGCGGCATTCCGTCTGACAATGGAACTCGTGGGTAGGTAAGGTCCGAGCGATCGTCAGCATGTCAGCATCGCATAGCATCATCAGCCCTACATATTCTTTTTTTCTAGACCGCTTGCTCGGTAACTGATGCGAATGGCCTGCCTTACCCTACGAACGCAAGTAAGAACTCTATCTCTACCTGGCCATCGCATATGTCAGACTTGACCCGCGAGAGTGGTACGTGGCGTTTATTTACTTTCAACGACATATTCATTTTTTGGTTTCTAGCTTTTATAGCAGAATAAACAATACTATTCTTCTTCGTTGAATAATGATACGATGGTTATTCTTGGCTCTGCGGGTGACTGCCATGCCATACCATACTATTGAATTGTCCGTATTCCAAACCCGAAACCGAAACCGAGAATTAACAAGGAAATTATAGCGATGTGATGTGATTTGGAGTACTGCCTCGCTTAGAAAAATACGGTTTCTCGTGACTTACCTGCAATGACGAGAATGGCGTTTATTGGAATTTGCTCGTGACATCATCGTATTCCTTTTGCTTCCTCATCTCGTATAGACGATCCCCTCACCATTGTTTCTACCTACCTACATTATCGACTTTAATACGCCGTACCCAGACACAGCGTACGTCTATCCAACTAACAGCGGTACCAAACAACCATAGCTCGTGTAATCTCTCCATCGGGTCAAGTGGACTTAGCCCGTGCTCAACCAGACCCTTGAACCGTCAATCGTAAACCTTACCCAACAAAACCTAGTTGCCGCGTTACCGCGGGACAAGAAAGTGGAAAGTCCATCTTTTAACGGAGATCCATTGATCCATTTTCCTTAGCATCCCCATCTCGCGATCAGGCAGCCAAAATATCAACTTCACAAAGTACCTACAATTCACCTCGCTCGCGCCATCCTAACTACCTAGTAGGTATCTAGGCCCCCATATCCTAGCCATTCTGAGCACAAAGGGTCGATATAAAGTACTATACCTTAGGTAGTATGGATAGAGAAAGAGAGAGAGAGAGAGCAAAAGCTGCCCCCTCTCCCCCGGGGGCCAAATCCTACGGGATCAAAAGCCCTCGATCATTATCATATCATGCTACTGCACCGTACTATATTATCGGGACCGGTGGTGAGAGCCCTGATCAACTCCCCATCTAACCCAGGCGTTACCAACCTATCAGCTATGTATTGTACATACCAACCCACAACCCACCCAGGACCTTCTTTAAGCCTCCGGGGCTAAGGCCAAGTCGTTAGTGTATTCCGCCCTCGCGGCGCGAGCTGGTACGTAGCTACACCAAACCCGTCGCTCCTCGCGCTCGTTTCAGCCTAGCCGTTCCCCTGGTGGCGGGGATAGGTACAATACACAGGACAGGACAGGGCAGGATAATATGTGCAGGGTTAATTTGTATCTCCCGTCGCAAAAAACCCACGCTGTAGCTTGAGACGGCTCGACCAACCAGATGTCCCGAAACCCGAGCCGCCAAGTTACTTTGCGTCTCTCGGGTCCCCATCGCTTTTGCTACCTTAGGTAGAGTACTAGGTAGGTAGGTAAGGACGCTTGTTCGCCCCATCTCTCCCCATCTCAATGACTGGCTGTAAAGAGGCTAATTCCTAAACCCGGTGTATTTACGTACGTATCTGCGGATGTGCTAGTGGGTGGACTTGGTGGAGAGGTACTGTACTGTAGTCTGTAGATAGGCGTGGTGGGTTGGTGGATACGTTTATGGATGGAATATACGGGATATGGATATAGACATGGGGATGTAATAAGACGTTTATCTGATTGACGTTTGCGCATGGACGGCACGTTTGAGAGTTACGTAGTTCGCAGATATGTCAAGTGCAGTGATGGAGACGGCACGGCTTCGTATCTTCACAATTGTGTGACGGGTGAAGAACGAAGATCGCATCACATTTGCGATGTACGCTCCGCACGTGGCTATGAATAGGATAGTTAGGCTGTGGTCGATCTATATCTGTATTTGTATATGCAGCTAGCCTCGTAGCTTGAGAAGTTGGTGTTGGGACGATCAGGTCGATCTGACCAACCACCACCGATAACAGCCTCCAAAACTCTAGGGCTAAAAATCGTTGGTTTGATATAATTAAAGACGTAACTAGAAGGAAGAGCTAAGATGGCAATGTAGTAGTTGTGACATTTGATAGGTTGGTATAAAATTAAATCATGAAAAATCAGGTATGCATTTACAAGTCACTTAGAATAGATGTGAAATAGCACAGAGTAAAAGTCAGGGAGACGTGGTTGATCATAACAGCATTCATGATATGACAATCTCGAGAATGGCATCAAATCTCTAGCTTCCTAAAGGACATGACAAAGTCCCTATCCCGCGTGCAAGGCTGGCAGTAGCCCCATCCTGTCTCATTTCATCCACACCACCACAACCACCATTCAGCTTCTCTCCGTAGAACTCGGCTTCCCTCATCGCCCTCGACCTTCCCTTTCCAACCGTAACCCCATCGTAATTCCACAACTCCCTCCAATTCCTTTGAAGTAGAACTCACCTATCGTTCCCAAAAACCTAGTCTCGGCTCCAGCTTCGCACGAGATCCTCGCACGAGATCCCCGGCCCCCAAGGCTACAAACGACACACGCAGGCAGACCGAACTGAAGGAACATTCCCTACGCCTTCTCTGGCGTTCCACAACATATCCCAATTATTAAAAACACCTAATCCAGCCTTCGGTAAAAACCTCTGCAGCGTCTGTCCCTGCGCATCGCACCAACAGTCCGCAGAAAGCAGAAAGCAGAGATGCGTCTGCGCACCAACAGCCGATCATCTCTGGAGAAACCCCCGGAAGAAGAGTAAAAAAAGAAGAAAAAGAAAAAGTGAAAAAAAGGCTGAGCTGAAAGCGGCTACATCCAGCCTCGCATCCGTGGTTTCGGATCTGACCTTTGCGAAGACCCGGCGGTTACCGCCTCTTCTCCTTAGGTAATGTGGATTTACCTATGTGTGTATCACAGACAGACACACGCCTTTCAGCCTCCCGTCCCTTAAGTCGGCGGCGAGACAAGAGACAAGACAAGACCCTATGATACCGTAGCCATGGGAACTTAGCCCCAGAGGCGCACCGCGAAAGCACCGAGGCAGGCACTCTTTGGCTGGCAGGTTATGGCACAGCCCGCGCGCGGTATCTTCCACTTCCCTTAACAATTAACGTCCATACGACTTCAAGGTTACTTACATACAATACCCTAACCCCACGAAAGTCGGGCGAAACATCCTCCCGCCGAAGTTTCGGATGCTTTGGGGGCGCAAAAAGCAAAAAGCAGAAGAGAAAAAAAGGGGTGGCTCTCGTGGCTAGAATCTGAGACCTTAGGCTCGCGGAATGTGTTCGTTTTTAAACACCTGCCCCGAGGCGTTGGGACCGTAGCAGCCGCCACCGAGGGGCGGGAAAGGGGGGACGGGAAGTGAAGACACCTAGATATGTATGATACCTAACATTGTGAGATGAAATAGTAGTAGTAGACAGCTCGTTAGTATCCTCATCGCCGCCGCGTTGCTAGATAGTTACCTACCTAGGTACCTAGTAAACGTGTTACCGCGACCCGACCACGCGCGCATGTCTGAGACATCGCAAAACCCACGTGCGCATTCCCAAATTTACGGTAGAGTCTCTTCCCGTATGTACATAACAGCGTACATACGTCTCACCCAGGATCCCCTGGAGACCTTCTGGAAAAGCAAAGGACGTAAACCTCCGAAACCAAAGAACAATCCAATATCGCATGTAACGAATGAGACGACGATACTCGATAGTCCGGGGTATATGACGTCGTAGCCCGATCCCAAGCAGGCGAATGCTCGCATCTTGCCTACCTACCTGCTTGTTCGCTCGTTTGCTTGTTTGCAAGGCATACACACAACACACAAGTCCGTCAAGCCATCAAAAAGCCAAAAGAACAATCTAGTTCCCCCGTTCTTCCAAGTTTAGAAGAAAGGGACTAATTCATGGTGCAAGCAAGCTACCTAGTATGTTACACGACATCTATCCAGCACCTAGTAGGTATTATCTCAAATCAAACAGGCAAGATTTGTGCTTGATGATCGCGGTCGAGCCGGCTCCATGCTGCGACGCTAAACATCGGACTCTATTCCAGTGCACTCTACTACTGTACATACATAGTAGTACTAGCCAGCTGTGCCGCACGCGCAATTTGCGAGTTAGCCCAGCTGCCCAGCACAGCACATGCTAAATGTACTGTATGTAGCGCTAACGAAGATACCTACAGCCCGCTAGGAACCCGGAAGTAATTAGTACTAGAGAGTAACCCTGGCAGCCCTGGAAAGTCCAACTTCCCAGTATGGGAAACATCGCGACCCCCCAGCCCAGCCCAGAAAAAAAGGAAACAGCGCCCCCCCCCCCCCCCAGGAAAGCCCAGGCCAGCTAAAGAATTAGAGGTGCAACCACAGAAAAATACAAGACGAAACAGTAGCAGCGTTCCCCAGCAGCCGGTTTCGTATGCTCCTCCCATGCCACGTTGTCGATCTGATCGGTTAGGCCACGAGATTGGTCGATGGTCCTATTTTGGCAACATTACTCGACGCTAGGCCAAGCTTCCCTCTATGTATGTAGCGTACATAGCTTTCTTGGCCTTTATTTTAGAACGGTCCAGGATATTTACCTAGTAGTATGTAGATAGTTATTTGTACTGTATCGTATCGTGTATGTAATAGATTGTGGAATTGTTCGGAGGAAACGATCCCAGGGCAACGAGAGGAGAGGGGATGGGGATGGGGATGGGGATGGGGATGTGGATGGATGGATGGGATA